TCCCACACTGGCCAAACATCAGCGCCAGGCTGGGCTTCAGAAGAGGAAAAGTGCAGCCAGGCATCTTGCCCTCAGGGCCTGACTGGCCCAAACTTTGGCCAGGTTGGAACGTTCTAGACAGCGGGGGTGAGGGGCAGAGACAATCTTTATTGTGCTCCAAGCCTAAGGATCCTTTGTACAAAAATAAGTCTTCATATTTTCAGTAGAGTCCCTCCAGCAGTTCAGGTTAATTTGTAAAAAATAGATTGTCATTGTAAAATCCTTTCTCCTGAGAAATCTCCAAGTCCTTGTGCCATACAGACTGGGAGATGGAAGGTCCATTTCGCGAGGTGGAGGCCCAGGTGAGGTCAGCACTTGGTTTTTGGTCAAGTTGCACTAGAAAGCATCGGTCCAGGCTCCGTGGGCAAGAAGCGCGGGTCTGTCCACCAGGAGACAATCAGGGATGCGGCTGTGAAGAGGACAGAACGCGTTAATGTGTGCGGACACCGCCCCACCTCCCAAGGCGCAGCAGGCAGTTTCAGTTTGCTTGGTTAGTTTTGGAGTCTCAGTTCATGGGTGCCTCGATCCGCTCCGAGGCGCCTACGGGGGCGGGGCGCACGCTCAGAGTCGGCTCGCGGTGACTCAGGGGCCCGCTCCCGCCGACTCATTCGGCACCCCGGCCCAGGACGCGATTTGCAATGCAAACTCACCCCGCCTCCAGCACTAGACTCGGCCGGGCTCCGCCAGCACAGGGACTTCGCCGGCCCGGCCCTGAGGCCGCTCCCCTCCTCTAGCCTCCCCCTCCCCCACCCTCAGCAGAGCCCAGAGAGGAAGTTTTGCAATCCCGGACAAACAAACGCTGGTCTTGCTCAGGCTTGAAAAAGGTTGAGGAAAAATGAAGCGTGCGCGAAATCGAAGTGATCGTCCCGGCCGAGCCCTGGCTGCAATGGGTCCCCGTGGCGCGAAGCGCCAGGCCCGCCCACCACGTGTCTCCCTTACTGCCTCTCCTCCCGACGCCCTGGAATTTACCTTAGAGGGGTTGGGTACTCAGTAGCCCCCTAACCAGCTGGAAAAGTCAAGTAGCTCGCTCTCCATGGGGCTCAGCTCTCCCTCGCAGCCGCTGTCCTCCGATGAGTAGGCGGAGCGCGGGGAGCCAGGCTCCGAACTGCCCCCGCGGTCGGGGGATGAAGAGGCGCAGGACAGCGACGCACTGGCGGGGGAGGCAGCGGGAGGCGCGCGGGCAGCCAAGGGCCGAGTGGGCGGTGTTAGCAGCCCCCCGGAAAGCGCGGCGCGCACCGCGTCGTGCTCCGCAAGCAGCCGCTGCAGCGCACGTATATATTCTACCGCGGAGCGCAGCGTCTCCACCTTACTCAGCTTCTTGCTGGCGCCGCCGTGCGGCACGTGCTGCCGCAGCGCCTGGAAGCCCAAGTTTACCAGCTTCACTCGGTTGCGTTCGCGCTCGTTGCGGCGTGCCACGGCGGCCGAGCCGCCCCCGGCTTCAGTTGCTCCAGATCGCCGGCGGCGGCTGCAGCGCAGCAGTTCCGGGGATGCGGGTCTCCGCCGAGTAGCGCAGGTTCCAGCGACTCCAGACGAGGCGGGCATGAGTCGGGGCAGCGCGCCACCGTCCATCAAGCTCGCATCCAGCCCTCGGGCGCCTTCTATGAGTTTCTGGGTGCTACAGGAAAAGTGCCCGCGAAGAACCAGGTGCGGTGGGAAGCGAACGCTCTCACCTCCACCGGTCTCAGGCAGGGCACTGCTGCAGGATTTCCTGGGGCACCGGTCGCTGACTTTCTGGAGCCCTAGGACCCCGTGTTGTACAAGGGCTGAGAGTAGGGAAGCGTGGTGCGCTCGTGTCCCGCGCGTGCGGTCAGACCTCCCCTAGTCTCCCTGTGCGCGGCTCAGGCGGCTCCTTTTAAAATGTATAGATAACCCTCCTCCGCCTGCCGCCGCCTCCTTTCTCACGCCCTCCTTCCTTCGCCTCGCCCTCCCGCCACGCTTCACCCTCCCCCCTGGCGTACACATTCTGCAAAGCTGACACCGCGAGCCCCCACCCCCACCCCTCCGGGGTGCAGTTTGCAGACTACTGCGCCCCCATGCTCCGGGCAGGTGCTTAGTGAGTCCTCGACAAGTCCTAGAGTACAGATCCCGGACTGTACTCCTTAAGTCCCACAACCCTAGGGGCTGTCAAAGGGTCTGAGTGTAATTTACAGGCATCCATATCCACCCTGGTGCTCAGCACTCAAGCCCCAATGACTACCAGGTCGCTGCACACCTAGAAAGCGTAGCCGGGTGAGGAACCCGACCAGGCTTTGCAGTAGCCAAGAAGTAGGTGAGCGCGACAACTACCCCCCAATCCCCGCGCGCGCACCCCCCAGAGCACACGCGCCACGAACCCGCTCCCACGTCCCTCCCCCTGGCGGAGGAGGCGGGAGCCGGAGTCTCGGCCAATCTGGGATCGTCCGTTTGGCCAATGACAGCTGGCGCGGTCCTATGCTGGGCCAGGAGGAAGCGTACGCCTGGCGCGTGGCTCCAGAGATGGGGAGTGTCTCAAACAAAGATCCACGCCCACTCCGCCCCACCCTGCTCCTCCTCCCGGACCCCAGTGTCCACGAACTGCTGGTGCACATCTGTCCCCCTTTGAGTGTGAGGTGGGCTTGAGGAATGGTTCAGACTTGTCTTGGGAAATCTCATGTTCCCCAGACACCTTGTTCCCATTCCGTCCCTCATGCACACCCGATGCCTTTGTGGTTTCAAGGAGCCTCAGGACCCGGTGCCCTGACATGAGGGGATACAATCAAGCCAACTCTGACCCCTCCTTTCTCAAGCTCTCTCTCATCTGCATCTTACAGCCAGCTCTCCAAGTCTGGGTCTCTATTCCCGATGTCCCTCTTTAATCTAGCCAGACTAGTTCTGTTTCAGTTCCTGGGCTTTTTGCTCAACGATACTTCTCAGGATTCCAGCGGGCCTGTCAGTACCATCCTTCCCCTGAGGCCGGTGGAGGGAGAGTTGAAGGGGCAGGGAAATGCACTGATCTTGGAAAAGTCTCAGTCCTACCCCACTGTCCCGGAACTGTGTGCCCTCAGGGTCATAGCAAGTCCAGCATTCCCAAAAAGGACTAGGTGCTCCTGAGCCAAGACCTATAGTGTTGAAGTAGTCTATCAGGCGGGTCTGGATGCCTGGAGTTACTTTCCGTGTATATATACGATTGAGGGAGGTCTATGGGACTCAGGGCCTCTCTCTGCTTCCACACTGCCAGGGAGCGTTTACCACCAGGATCCATTGGGGCTCTATATTCCTAAACTAGCCTTTTGACCGTCATGCTGTGTGGGGGAGGTGCGCTGTGAGTCGCTGCTGTCTGGGTGCCTGCTCAGTGCACCTGAATGAGACAAGTCACTTCTCTGTCTTGTGGAGCAATCCAAGTAGAAGCAGAAATTGGGCTGGGGAGAGTGTTCAGTGGGTAAAGTGCTTGCTATGCAAGTGTGAGGATCTCAGTTCAAATCCTCAGAACCCATATAAAGCCAAGTTGTGACACAGAGAACAGGCGAATCCCTGTGAATTCCCAGGCCAACTAGCTCCACAAATGCAAAAATGAACAACAGACTATCTCAAATGGGCTGGAAGGGGAGGCCCAACACCTGAGATATCCTCCAAACCCCATATACATTGTTGTGTGCACCATCACACACAGAAGTATGCACACACATACAAAATGAATGAAAGCAGATTGTATCCTGGCTCCTTGACAAACCTTGATCTGCAGAGGCCACTGCTGTCCTGCCTGCCTCCCTGCCTTTCCCTGAGTTTTTGTTTTGTTTTGTTTACTTTTCCTTAATTTGGGGAGGGAGGGGGGATAGGGCCTCCTGTAGCCTAGGCTAGCCCCGAGTTCACTATGTAGCTAAGGATGATCTTGCACTTCTGGAGCTTCTTATCCTTTTGCTTTTATCTCCAGAGTGCTGGGTTTACAGGCATGCACCACCACACCCATTGTATATGATGCCTGGGGTTGAACTCAATGCTCTCTGTACATGGTATCTGCTAGACAATCTAGTGACTGAGACACATTCTCAGACCCCTTCCTTGGTTTAAAAAACTTTATTTATTTATTTATTTATTTATTTATTTATTTATTTATTTATTTATTTATTTATTATTGTATGCATATGAGTGTTTGCCTGCATGTGTGTCTGTTCAACATGTACATGCCTAGTGCCCACAAAGATCAGAAGAAAGTGTCAGATCTCCTGGAACTGTAATTGCAGATAGTTGTGAGTCACCATGTGGGTGCTGGGAATCTGACCCAGGTGCCCTTAACCACTGAGCCATTTCTTCTCACCCCTCCTCCCTGATTCCCTCTTGACAAGCTCAAAATGACAAGAGATGTCCTTCACTCTACACCATCAAGTGAAGGCTGCAGAGCCAGGGTGGGGACAGTCCCAGGGCTCTACCATATAGGTTATTGTTCTTGAGACTCTGTGGGACTGTAGCCATCGCTCTGCTGATATGTTCAAGCGTTGTTCATCTTGGGACTGTGGAGGACAGTAGTCCTAGTCATCTACCTGGCCTTCAACTAGATTTTTTTAAATTAAAATTTAGTTTTTTGAGAATTTCATACATGAGAGCTGTATTTATATCATTTCCACCCCTTCCTCTTCCCACTCCAACTCCTTCCTTGTCTGCCTCACTCCCTCTCAAACCCGTGACCTCTCCTTTAACTATTAGTTTAATACACACACACACATACACACACACACACCCTACTGAATCCATAGTGTTGCCCATACATGTTTAGGACTGGCCACTTGGAATCAATAACCTACCAGGGAGCTCACCCCTGGAGAAAACGGATTCTTCCACCTTCAGAGCCTTAATTGATTGTCGTTCTTCAGCTAGGGGTGGAGCCCTGTGAAAGTTTCCCCATTCACATTGGCATTTGTCCATTGGTGATGTCATTTTTCAGATCTTGTATAGTGTAGCAGGAATCTTAAAAGTTCTTATTAATAAAATCAAACCTGAGCCAGGTATTGGGTTGAACACTGGAAGATCAGAGAGACAGAACAAGCCACAGCCAACCTCACCTGGCCAACTTCTCAGCTGGTCTTGTTTCCTCAGACTGGAGGCCTCTGAGTCCTCATCCAGAATGGGTCTCAGCTGAATTGCTGCTCAAAAGCCTGAATGCTTAACCAGGCCAAATGCTTAACCAGCCAAATGCCTCTAGTTTCTGGTCCTCACGCCTTATAAACCTTTTTGCTTTCTACCACCACTCCCTGGGATTAAAGGCTCACTTTCTGGGATTAAAGGCGTGAGTCACCATGCCTGGCTGTTTCCAATGTGGCCTTGAACTCACAGAGATCCAGAGGGATTTCTGTCTCTGGAATGCTAGGATTGAAGGTGTGAGTGCCACCATTTTCTAGCCTTTGTATTTAGTGGCTGTCTGTTCTCTGACCCCAGATAAGTTTATTAGGGTGCACAATATTTTGGAGAACCCAATACCACCACATTTCCCCCTTTTTGTCTAAAAATAAAAAAAGCTTATAACTAATACAAGAAAAATTATATCCAATAAGTATATACAATATACACAGTCAAGATTACATTAACAATGTCTAGTCCATTAACATTTGACAGATTCAAACAAAAAACTCCATTATATATATTAACAATGTCTAGTCCAGTAACATTTGACAAATTCAGACAAAAAATTTTCATTGCTTATCTTATTTAAAAGTATAGTCAGCCATATGGTTGAGATTTCCTGGGTATAGCTTTTCGGTCATATATAGAAGACACAATCTAGAAGCAGACTTCCTGATCCTCTGACCCTTATAATCTTTTTGCCCCTTCTTACTCCATGTTTCCTGAGTCTTTAGTGTAGGGATTGCCTTATAAATGTGTCAGCTGGGGTGGGCAATCCACAGTCAGTTGTTCTCTGCATTTTGAACATTTGTGGATTTCTGTAATGGTCTCCATCTGCTGTAAAAAGAAGCTTCTTTGATGAGGACTAAGCTACATTTAACCTGTGGATACAAGGACAAATATTTAGAATGCAGTTAGAGAGTATACTGGTTTAAGAAAACGGCTGTGGTAGGCTCTCTTCTAGCGTCCATGAGTTCGCCAGCCACAGGTAGTTGGCTAGGTTTATAGGACCAGGTCTGAATTCCCTCCTGTTGATCAAGCCACAGAGCCAATTCGGCAGTTGTTGGTTACTACCAAGATGTGACACTATTGCACCTCTGAGGGTATCTTTCTGGGCTGGTTGTTGTTGTTCATAGGCTTTGTAGTTTCTCCATCTAGCTTGCTATCCACAGCTGGTTTCTGGCTCTCGGGAGCAGAGCTTGCAAGACGCCTTAAGACTCAGGACTCCTAGGAGTGAGCCTCTGTTGAGACTCAGTCCTTTCAGAGGTCCCACCATGTTTCCTTCCTCCCAGGCTGGCATCTACCCTACTTTGTAACACATCTTTCTCTGTCCCGCCAGCCAGCTCTCAAATAATGACACAGAGACAGCTTATTAATTATGAAAGCTCGGCCTTAGCTTAGGCTTGCTCTCAACTAGCTCTTATAACTTAACCCATTTCTATTAATCTACATCTACCACATGTTTTTTTTTTTTTTAACCTCTTCTCCATTTCTGTATGTCTGACTTATTCCTCATCTTCTGGCATCTCTCTCATGCTTAGATTCATCTCCTACTTCCCCTCTCTCTCTCTGCCTGGAAGAAGTCCCACCTATACCCCCCTGCCTAGCTACTAGCTATTCTTTAGTTTTTTAGCTCTTTAAACCAATCACAGCAATATATCTTCACACAGTGTATAAAAAATATCCTACAACATTTCTCCTTTTTTGTCTAAATAAAAAGGAAAGGTTTTAACTCCAACATAGTAAAACTATGTACAAAGAACAATTATCAGGTAAGAATTACATTTACAATGTCCAGTCTATCTGTATTTGGAAAATTCAGAGAAAATATTCCATTATCTATCCTATCTTGGTGAGTCAAAAGTTTTGTACCTAATTTACTTTCTATACTAACTTGTATTACCAACCTAAAACTATCTTTTTAGACCTCAAAATATTTTCTTAGATAAACAACTTAAGCTTTTATGTCTTTCAACCTTATATACTTTATATGTCTTTTGTGAGTTTCTTTTCTGAATTTGGTAACAAGGAAAACTGTAACTATAACTATTTAGTCTTTAACTCCACTGAAGACCTGAGAAGGATATAATATTACCTGCATAAACAGAAAGTGTAGAGCAAGCAACTTCCAAAACTAAGAAACAGAGACATCTAATCACCCCAAGGTTCCTCTGCTACTTTGAAGGATCCATCTTCAGCCTGGGCCTAGAGTATCTGACAGACTTTTCTGTGAAGCAGGAATTTGAAGGACTGTCCTATCTCGTCTTGGCAAAGTTCAGCAATTGCCTTCTTTTGTGTTCTGCGTGTCTAAATTGGACAGCATTCTGTTAGCAGTCAAGGCAAGGGCAGTTTCTTTGCCCAGTGGCTAACTTTGCCACAAATGAAAGTAAATTCCATATGGAGTTTCTTCAATGCTCTTTATCCTCTTTTGAACTAAACTGGTGCTGCCAGGAGCAGATGTGTCTCACTGTCACGAAAAGCCTTATGTTATTAAAACATTTTAAATGCTACATTCTGTAGGTCTTTGAAGTATTTGAAGACCATCTATTTAAAATGTATCTCTGACCTTAAAAACATATCTAACATGACTGTAAATTTGGTTGTTGTAGATGACTAACTACTAACCTGTCTTTCTTTATTATGCTAAATAGCTTCAAGGACTGGAACTTTACATCACATTTTTAAATGAGTTGCATAGGTACAAAACCTTAAACAAGAAATAGAAACATACATACAGTATATATAAAAAAATAACCTTAAATTTGTATCAATATATAAAAATCCATAGCAATGCAAATATTTGAGGCTAGTGGTTGTTCAAAAATAGACTCAACAATCCACCCTTTTATCCCACCATTTTTATACTATATTTCCCCCTTTTCCCTTTCAGAAAGAGATCCTTGGATTTAATGTTTTTTTGCTCAGCTTCTTCCCTGACCATGACCAACAACAATGTGTAACTGATGGGTTTTTTAGCGGTGCTCTTACCCCCAAGGAAAAGTCACGAAACACGACAGAATCCACTAACAAGAGTTTTATCAAGACAAAGAAAAAGGGATAGATGTGATCAGGCCTGTGGAAGGACACATGAAAGAAAAAGAGCCAGGAACATGGGGCCTGTCTTATAAAGGCCAGAATGCACCTGCGCACACAGGCCATGTGGCTATTCCACGCATGCGCATAGATCACGTGGTCACGTCCGTGTCACTACATGACCACGTAGCCATGGGGCATGGGGCATGAGGGACATACGACCCGGAAATGACTAGGCGGAGATGACTAAGTGTCCCGCCGGGCATGTATGACCATGGGGGCGTGGTTGGAATTCCTATCAGCAACCAATCTCCCTAAACAATGATAAACATCCATAATCAATTGAATGACCAAAAGCCACCCACCCCACCTCTTGGGATTGTGGGTATCATGTTCTCTAGATTGCTTCCTGTTGTCTGGGAGTGACAGCATCTTTGGGGGATCCTGAGAAAATTGGAATAAAGGTCAAGTCCTGAGAGAGCTAGCAATATATATATATATATATATATATATATATATATATATATATATATATATATATGTATATATATATATATATATATATATATATATATATTTACATAGTCTCTGTGTGATGGAAAAGTGTAGAGCTTATCTGAAGTTTTGGCTGGAGTAGTATGTGAGGCTTGACCACTTCAGCTCATAGCTTTGAAGTTGTTCTGGATGCAGAATTTTGAGGAAACTGCAACAGAGGCATTCTGAGAGGCTGGATCACCTGGGCTACTTTACTGGTGTCTGATCTTTTTTTTTTTCTAAAAACACATAAACTTTTAAAGGTAACACACACACACACACACACACACACACACACACACATATCTGCATTAACACAAGTATCGAATGTGTAGTGTGCACAAGTCAGTTAAAGATGATGTTTTGTTTTATGTATGAGCAGGTAAAAGGCATCTGTTTTTGTAAGTCTGTTTGGACTGTATAACCAAATCTCTCTCTATCCATGCCATATGAAAGGATGGCATGTAATAACAAGTCATGAGGACTCTGTATCCAATAAGATTTATCATGTCTCATCCAATCTTAGAGCTGTTCCTATGCAGAGGGATCAGCATACACGTCACCTGTCTTGTAGTCTTTCCAAAGTCTTCCTCCCTCATGTCTGTAACCAAGATCCTCAGGAAGTCTCCCCTGGTCAAATCTGATCTCTATTAGCTTTGGAGGAATCCATAGTTTTTCCTTTCCCATGGCGGGCCGGGGTGGGGGGGGAGGCGTAGCTTCTCCCCCAATGCAATGTATTTCCCAATTTCCATCCTGAAGTCCATCTCTAAAGTATACAGGCTGGTTTAATTCAGTATTCTCTTCCACAATCCAATGTCTCTCAGCAGCTGCCATTCCCTCATCAGCATTCAAGAAATTCAAAGTCAACAAAGCACCATACAGGATCCAGACATCCTCTGTATTTCCTATCCTTATGTGGCATTATTATTATTATTATTATTATTATTATTATTGCTTTACTCTTTCTTTAAAGACATGACTTTATTATTTTTAAACTATTTTTTTCTATGACTGACTACACCCATTTTCTCTTCTTTCTTTAGCATCTGAGTACATTTTTAAACATACTGTACCTTTTTAGAGGTTTTCTGTGTCTGGACCTGGCTTTACTAAGTAAGCACTTGCAGTGTTCTCAGACCATGTGAGACAAATCTTAAACTGTCTTGTCTGCTGTCACATGGCTCAGCTTAGCACATGTTGCTGGCACATGGCACTGGTGGCTGGCTCCAGCCTGCAGGCAGTGGCCAGTAGCCATTCCTCTGTACACTGAGCACTGGCCTGCCTGAGAGACTATAGGACTAGGAAGCCACGTCCGGCTCCTTGTCCAGAACTTTTCTTAGCTTTCTCAGGCCTGTTTGGATATTCAAGCCTCCTCATTGGACATATGTAGATGAATTTTTCTTTGGGCTGCCAGCTCCCAAATAATGACACAGAGACTTAATTATGAAAGCTTGGCCTTAGCTTAGGCTTGTTCTCAACTAGCTCTTATAACTTAAATTAACCCATTTCTATTCATCTATGTTTTACCATGTGGCTTTTTTTCTGTACTACTACTCCATTTCTGTATGCCTGACTTGTCCTGTATCTCCTGGTATCTCTCTCACACCTAGGTTCATTTCCTGCTTCTTCTCTTTCTGCCTAGAAGACCCGCCCATACCCTCTTCCTGACTATTGGCTGTTCAGCTCCTTATTAAACCAATCACAGCCGTACATCTTCACACAGTGTACAAATATCCCACAAGACTCCTATCAGGCCAGTGTCTCATCCCACCCAGCACCTTTCTGACCTCTGCCACCCCATCCTCATCCTGACCCTCTCACTTTCTGCAAGCTTACCCTATCTTCCTCAGCTTCAAGGTGACATTTCACTAGGGACTGGTGTCTTCCTAGGTTCCCCCTCCTTTCTTAACCTCATTTACCCACACCCTCTGACCTCTGACTTCTGCCAGCCTTCAACACGGGGCAGTTCTGTTGTTCTGCAAGCAATTCTCTCCTGGACACGTGAGTCTCATATGTCTCTCTTGTAGAACCCTGGCTCTATCCTTATCCATGTAGTCTCCATGTTGGATGTTTTGAAACAGTCAAATGTCCAACAGACAAATGGATGGATAAAGCATGAGCTGACCCCAAAGGGACTATGACTCAGCCAAGAGAAGAGCTGAAACACTGGTGGGCACCATGGTGTTGGTAGAGATGAGTCAGTGAAAGAGGGCAAAATCAAACACCACATATTATATGACTTCGTTTACAAGAAATGTCCAGAATAGGACAATCCCCAGAAACAGAAACAGACACAGGGACAAGAATGAGGGGGAGGTGGTGGCTACAGGGTATGGATTTCCTTTTAATCACAATATTCTATGGAGTAGGGAAATGGCTCAGCACATAAAGTGCTTGCCATGCATGCAAGCCCAGAGGCCTGGATCTGAGTTCCCAGAAGCCATGCAAAGCCTGGCATTCCTGTCTTCACAGTCTTGCTGTGATGAGCTGGGCGATGGAAAGGAGAGTTACTGGAAACTCAAGGCCAGCTGGCTGAGAACAGACAATTGTGAACAGTGAAGAAATCTTGTCCAGAAAGTCAGAACTCGAGGACTGACCCTCAAGGGAATCTGATCCCCACACATGCTATGGCACACACGTGCATACAGGCTAACTCTGCTGAAGCTTACATGCTGTGAATGAATGGTTCAATGAAGTGTGTGGAGTGTGACTATGCTCAGAAGACAGCTGGAAGACTTCGATATGGCATGTGCCACGCCATCTCCTCGGTGCCTCTCCTTTGCAGTGGTCTTCTATTCCCGGCTTGTGTGACTTCTCTTGAGTCTCCATCCCTGAGCTCTCAGGTAGGGGCAGAACAGCTTTGTCGGAGAACCTGATAGCAAATCTGTCTTGCTTTGCAGGCTACATAGTCAGTGTCACGTGCCCTGAATTGCTAGCGAACAAATGCTACCACAGACATAAAACAAAATAAACAAACACACAAACAAAAAAAACCCCACCAAGTTTCCCAGCAAAAAAACAGCCACTGCATCTGGAACTTCAGGTCCTGTTTATGCATTACAAAAAGTTATTTTGGTTTTGATGTGTGTGGGTGTGGGTGTGCATACACATGTTTATGTGGGTATGGGCATACATGTGTGTGGGATACATGTGCACTATGTGTACAGGAACACATGGCAGCCAGAGGACAACCTCAGGTGTTGTGGCATCTACTTTTTTTTTTTGAGATAGGGCCTCTCACTGGCTTTTATCAGGTGGCTGACTGGTCAGCAAGTCCCAGGGATCCTCTTGTCTCTGCCTCCCCTGGAATTGCAAGCAGTGAGCAAGCCTAGCTTTTTTTTATGTAGATTCTGAAGTTCAAACTCAGGTCCTCACATCCAGCAAGGCGAAATCTCAGGTAGCCTAAATATTGACCTTTTAAACCACATAAATATTTTCTAATTTTAAAAATCCAGTATTTATCTTATTTTATGGTATGGGTGTTTTGCCTTCATGTATACATATATGCACCTTATTAGTGCGGTACCTACAGAGAAAAGGACAGGGCCTCAGAATTTCTGGAACTGGAGTGGTTGTGAATCTCTATATGAGATTGAACCTAGGTCCTCTGCAAGGGCAACAAGTGTTCTTAACCACTGAGCAATCTCTCCCACCCGTCTAGCTTTGGGACAGTACTACAGCAGGTAAAGGTCCTAATGCAAGCCACAATTTCTATCCATGTGACATGAGGACTGAACCTCAGTCCTCCACAGCTTCCCAAACTGAATTCATAGTAGGCTTATCTTATACTTCTTTTCCTTCAGCCCATGTTCCTCCTAAGTCCTCTCCACATAGATGTCTCCATAGCCATGACAGGTCAGCCACATGGGTACCGTCCTCTTTCCCCATAGTCATTTACCTGTGACCTGGCATCTTCTCCAGCTGGATTTCCACCTTGCCCTTGGAGGTGGACCTTTGACTACTCTCGTCTCCTGAGTGTGGAGTTCGCCTCCCACTGTCTGAGCTCCACCTCCAAGCAGGGACAGTCTGGCCAAACGCAGTCAGATCAGGCCTGGCCCTTGGGATTCAGTCTCAGCTTTCCAAATGCTGTATTGAGAGCCATCTGCCTGTATGGTCCCCAGGCCACCCCATTCCATCCCCTTGGGAATGGTGCAAACACAGCCATCCCTCAACAACTGTCATTTCTTCATCAGTGGGCTCTGTGACTCTCAGATAGCAACGGAGCCTATGTAGACCATCTACGGGTCTCATGGAATAGAAGGGGAAACTCTCCAAGGCTCTGCTGGTGAGTAAGAAGCAAAGGATCAGCTAGTTCAACACAAACTGCCTACCGTTGTGACACCCTGAGACCTCACTGAGGCCTTGGACAGACAGCTTGGTTCCAGGCCATGCCCTGGAATTAGACAATGCCATTAAGAAGAAGCCACTCAGCCTGATGGCAGAGGATAACTGGCCCCCTGTCAACTCATCAGACATCAAACCATGAGGGAAGCTGCCATATCCACAACAGCAGATATTCTCCAGGGATGTTCCTGTGCACGGCAAGACAACCTGGAAAGGAGTGTGGCAAGCACGGTGGCAGATGCAATAAAAAGGCCGAAAGGAAGATCCAGGTGACATGCGGCTCTCTCTAAAGTCAAAGAGTAATCAGGAGGAAGGGCTGGGTAGAGGGCTCAGTCAATAAAGAGTCTGCCAGGCAGGCATGATCCCCAAGGCCTTCACAGATTCCGGGTGTGGTGGTGTGCTTGTAATCCCAGTGCTGGGGAAGCAGAGACAGGTGGATCCCTGGAGTTTGTTGGCCCTAGGTCCCACAGAGATCAAGCTCAAAAAACCCAAAGTGGACAGCTCCTGAGAAACGACACCTGAGGTTGACTTCTGGCCTCTATGCACACACACACACACACACAACACACAAACACATACACATATATACATACAAACATATATACACACATGTACATGCATATATATACACACAAACATATACAAACATTCATACACATAAGCACACAAACATGCATGTACATATATATATAAACAAACATAAACACACAAACACACATACACACACACACACACACACACACACACACAAGAAAAGCCAAGAGGGTGTCCACAAGCCTAAATGAAGGTGGTGTGGTGAGAACAAGGCCTATGAAGTCCTGTAGAGATTTGACTTCACCATAAGAGGATACTTTACAAAACAGGAAAGACAGGACAGAAATGAACAACACGTTTGACTCTAGAACATCAAGAAAGATTTCAAAAAAAAAACAAAAACCTAGATAATTAGTGATCAGGGAAGGTCAGCAAGATAGTGAATCATTCTCAGCACCTATATGGTAGATCACAAAGCCGTCTCCTGTCTCATTTGAGTACTGCACTCACATGGTATATATTCAGACACACACACTATACAGATCTATCTATCTATCTATCTATCTATCTATCTATCTATCTATCTATCTATACATATATATATAAACACACACACGTGTATAACAAAAGACAGAAGATCATGGCTGGAAAATGGCTCACTACTTAAGAGTACATACTGCTTTTCTAGAGGACTGGGGTTCAGTCCCCAGCACCTACATTGGGTGGCTCACAAATCTGTCCTCCAACTCTAGGGGATCTGACACCCTCTTTTGGCAACCATATGTAGGTGCACATACACATGTAGACATGTATAACATAAAATAAATACTTTAAAATTTTAAGTCAAGAGCTGGGTAACAGGAGAGGACCTCCACATAACTCCCAAAGACAAAGACTCAAAACTGAGTCAATGGCCTAAAAACTGGGTTTTTTCCCTTGTGTTATGTACTTTGATCATTTCACACCTCCATTGCACTCTTTCCACTCCTCACTTCTTCCTCTTCTTCTTCTTCTTCTTCTTTTTTTTTTTGGTTTTTCGAGACAGGGTTTCTCTGTGTAGCTTTGCGCCTTTCCTGGAACTCGCTTTGGAGACCAGCTGGCCTCGAACTCACAGAGATCCGCCTGGCTCTGCCTCCAGAGTGCTGAGATTAAAGGCGTGCGCCACCACCGCCCGGCTTCTTCCTCTTCTTAAACAGCTTCCCTTCTACATTTGTCTTCTTCTTGTTGTTGTTTTTCAAGACAGGGTTTCTCTGTGTAGCCCTCGCTGTCCTGGATCTCGATCTGTAGACCAGGCTGGCCTCGAACTCACAGAGATCTGCCTGGCTCTGTCTCCTGAGTGCTGGGATTAAAAGCGTGTGCCACCACCTGCCAGCCTGCTGTTCTTTTTAAATCTAGATTCCACATATGAGGAAATACGCAGTGTTTGGCGGTCTGAGCCTGGCTTACTTTACTTAGAGCGATGATCCCCATTCCCACCCATTTTCCTGCTGATGACATAATCTCACACTTTCTGGCTGAATAACACTCTATTCTGTATATAGATCACATTTTCTTTATCTGTTTAACAGTCATGGGGCATCTAGGCTGATCAATAAGTGCTGTTGTGAACAGTGCAACAATGCACATGGGCTTGTGAGTATCTGTGGTTTGCTAGCTTGGAGTCCTGTCCATAAGCACCAGGAGCAGCATAGCTGTGTTGGGTTTTGGAGGGAATCACCATTCTGATTTCCATAGCAGCTGCATTAGTCCATATTCCTACCAGTATTTGTTGTTAGAAAAATTGATTTTGTAAGTGTGTATGCATGTTCGTGTGTGTGCACATGTGTGAAGGGTACACGTGCATGTGTGTGAATGTGTAGGTCAGAGGTTGGGTGTCTTCCTCAATCACTCTCCACTGGATTTTTTTGAGACAGGGACTCTCACTGAGCCTGGAGCTCTTCCAGGCTAGGCTACCCTCCCAGCAAGTCCCAGGAATCCTCCTGGCCCTACCTGGCTGGCACTGGGTTAGTAGGTTTTACACAGCTGCTGAGGATTGAACTCTGGTCCTCATGCTTGAGCTTTACTGACTGAGACAGCTCCACAGACCAAAGGCTGATTGTGAATGAATGAATGAGTGAATGAATGATTTTTTTGGAGACCAGATCTTTCTGTGTAGGCCAGGATGGCCTACAACTGGCTATGTAGACCAAGCTGTTCTCAAACTCACAGAGAGCACCTGCTTCTGCTTTCCAAGTAACAGGATTAAAGGCATATACCACCACACTTGCCCCAAAAGTGACTTTTAAAAAATCAATAAAATAAGCTTTAATTTTTTTCTCATAATAGAGATGGAACCAAAGGCCTCTTGGCATGTCAAGCAAGTATTCTGCCTCTAAGCAACACACCTCCAAAACAAACAAGTCTTACCAAGATAAGAGATACTCTTGTTTTTGTTTTTATTTTGCTTTTTAAGAGAGTCTAAGTATATAGCCCAGACTAACCTTGAACTTGTTATGTAGGCCAGGCTGGTCTTGAAATCATGTTCCTCTTGTCTCAGCCTTCCAACTGCTGGGATTACACACATATTCCATCAGGCCCTGCTGACACATATTTTTAAAATAATAGGAATAATGGGGCTGGGGTATATATTGGTGGTAAAATCATGTGCTCATTGGGCTTAAAGACCTGGGTTCAATCCCCAGGGGCCCAAATATCAACAAAACATTAGAAAAACACCAGAAACAGGAATATCAACAAGTATAAAAGCAAAAAAACATTTTAAGTTGAGGAAGAGTTTCCATTAATAACTAAGATAAAGTTATAGGGACAGAATAGAAGCTCCCCTTTCCTAAAACAGAAACAACCAATTCAGAAAGCCACAAAGGACAGTGTCCCATGAGATGGGCACCCAGTGGAGGGCCTGGTGATGCCCTCCTCCTATGGAGAGACTCTCCCTGCTGTGGTCCAGGAGTCACCAGAGTCATGGAAGCATGTCAAGGCTTCTATGGGAAGGAGTCAGAGGCTGAGCAAGGATCATGCTGAGGACTCAGTTCAGAGCCCAGCTCTCACTTGGGCTGTCCATCAGCCATAGCAGGGGGCCACATAACTCAGAAAGCATTAAGTGTTGTGTGTGGACTTCAGGAGTAAGGAACATTACCCTAAATGAGCATCACTCAAGTCCTTCCAAACCCCAAAACATCAAAGTGTAACTCCACACTGCAACTCAGCCATGCCCAGGACAGAGCTGGAAACCAGAAACACAAAAAATACCTGGGGCCAAAAGGACTAAAACTTGGCCTGACGATGACTCAGCACAGAAAGGTACTCACCATGCAAGCCTGGTGACCTGAGTGCAGTCCCTGGGAGCCATAGTGGAAAGAAGAGAGTTAGCTCCTGAAAGTTGTCCTCTGACCTCCACAGGCATGCTGTGCAATGTATCCAAGTGCACCTGCACACGCTCATGTGCATGCACACCACACACACACACACACACACACACACACACACACACACACACACACACACACGGGGTGGGGGTGTGGAAATGAAATCAATATTGAAAAGAAGAAGATAGGGGCTAGAGGGATAACTTACTGGTTAAGAACATCTACTGCTCTTGCAGAGGACCAGAGGTCAGTTCCCTGCACCCATGTTGAGTAGCTCACAACTTCCTATAACTCCAGCTCCAGGGGGTCCTCTTCTGTCCTCTGTGGGCACCCACATGTACATATGAATACACACACACACACACACACACACACACACACACACACACACACACACACATACCCTATCTTAAACAAATATTTTTAAGATTTAAGTTACAATGTCTAGTACCCAACTGTCTTAATAACTTTTCTCATTGCTGTGACTGAAAATCAGGCAAAAGGAACTATGTGGGGGAAACAGACACTTCTTCATCTCCCCAGGAACAGTGTCACAAAACAGGTCACAGGCAAGGTCAGCAAAACATTACTGTGGCTTAGTTTCCCATGCTGAATGTCAAGGAGAAGCACAGGAGGCAGTTAGTTACAAGAGCAGAAGACATCCCCGGAAGTTCTGGAGACAAGAACAACAGCATCTGGGGTGGAAAATGCATCAGTGGCAAATTGGATGCTGTGGAAGGAAAGGCTTGTGAAGCTGACGGTACAGAAGGGGGTCCCATCTGAAGGTCAGCACAGACAGGCAAGGTGAGAAGCACACGTCTAATACACACGGGAGCTCCTGAATGAGAACGAGAAATGAGACAGAAAAACACCCGGAGAAAAAAATAACTGAAAAATTTCCAAATTTGATAAAAATCATAAGCCTACAGATCCAGAAAGCTCAGCAAAACCTAAGAACAAAGAAAATACATCACGATCATATTATGTGAAACCAGGAAAGGAAAAAACATTCTTAGTCAGAGGAAAATGATACATATGCATACATGCAGAAAAAATAATTTGTATGCAGAGACACCAAAAGGAGATGACACAATACTGGTACATCTGTTCACAGCAGTATTTCTTAAAACAGCCAAGGGGTGGAGGAAGCCCACATTCACTATTGGTGGGGGGCGAGAATGGATAAGCACAATGTAGTCGGCCATTCTTAAACATGAAGGAGAGGATGGGATGGAGAGATGGCTCCGTAGCTGCGGCTCTTGCAGACGACAGGCATTAGGTTCACAACTTCCACATGATGGACCCCAGCTCTCTGTTGTTCTGGTTACACGAGATCTGATCACCTCTTCTGGCCTCTGTGGGCAATTCATGGACATGGTGCACAGACATACATGGAGGCAAAACACCCATATACAAAAAAAGAAATACTCTGCTTTTTCAATGGAGGGGGGCAGTGACATGGCTCATTAGGTAATCTGCACCTGCCACCAAACCTGACAATCTGAATTAGATACCAGGGGCTCACATAGTGGAAGAAGAGAACCAGTTCCTACAAGTTGTCCTTTGACTTCCACATGTGCGTTGTGGCAATCACCCCCCACCCCACCCTACCCCCTGCCAACCAATCAATCGATATAGTTTTTAAAAATGAAGGAGATCTGGAGATGTGGCTCGGTTTGATAGCATGTTTATCTGGCAAGCACAAAGCCCTGGGTTCAATCCTCGGCACCCCATAAACCAGGCATGGTGCTCATGCCATCATCCCAGCACTCAGAAGATGGAGAAGTTCAAGGTCATCCTTGGCTACATTGTGAGTTTAAGGCCAGCCTGGGATATGTTAATCCTTGTTGGAAGAAAGGAAGGAAGGAAGGAAGGGAGGGAGGGAGGGAGGGAGGGAGGGAGGGAGGGAGGAAGGAAGGAAGGAAGGAAGGAAGGAAGGAAGGAAGGAAGGACATTTTAGCCAGATGTGGTGATGCATGCCTGAAACCCAGCACAAAGGAGGCCAGGTAAGAGGATCAGAAGTTTGAGACCAGCCTCGTCTACATAGTGAGATAGAAGAAAGAGAAAAGAAAAACGTGGAAAATTCATAGGCTTTGAGGACACGATACTAAATGCAATAAACTAGTCACAGAAAGACAGGTGTTGGGGCCGGAGAGATGGCTCAGTGGTTAAGAATGCTCGTTACTTTTCCAGAGGACCCAAGTTTGACTCCCAGAACCCTTTAAAATAGTCCATAACTACCTGCCTAGCTCCATGGGGGACTGGAACTCTCTTTTGGCTTCTGCAGGCACCACCAACACACTCACAAACACACACACACACACACACACACACACACACACACACACACACACACATACACGCACACCACACTTCAAAATAGATTTTTTAAAAGATTTATTTTTATTTTTTCCATAAAATAAACTTTAGAAAATAAAAAGGGAAGGTACTGAATGACTCAGTCTCTATGAGGTTCCTGGAGCCATCACATTCTTGGACACATAAGGTAGGACGATGGGTATCATCTGCCTACCTATCCTTTATTTATTAAGAAATAAATATCCTTTATTTATTAAGAAATAAGAAATACTTGCCTTATTTCTGTGCCTAAACTTAAGGAAGGAAGTGTTTATCTGGCTCACAGATCAAGGGCACAGTGTGTCAATGGGGAGAAGACGTAGCAAGCAGGAGGCAGGTGGATTTTTGTGAGTTCACAGCCAGCCTGGTCTACAGAGCTAGTTCCAGGACAGCCAGGACTACACAAAGAAACTCTGTCTCAAAAAACCGAAGCCAAGGGCTGGTAGCCGGTCACATTGCATCTACATCAGGAAGCAGAAAGATGAATGCTGGTGCTCAGCTCACTTTTCCTTCTTATTCTTTGTGGAGCTCCAGACACAGGATGGTGTCATCACATTGAGGGTGGACCTTACTTCATCAGTTAAACATCTCTAGAAACAACATCACAGACCCACAGACACATAGACGAGTGTCTTCTGGGTGATTCTACACTCTGTCACATTGATAGGAGTAACCATCACAATAGGTGTGGTGGGATAGGGGCTGGGAGGAGGATTTGTAGCCCAGGCTTTAATGGAACAAAACTTTGGTAGCTGAAGACACTCTGGAGTTGGATGGTTGTGATAACTGCACAGCAATGTGAATTTGTTTGTTTGTTTGTTTCTCCTGAACTTTGCACCCTAAAATGGTTAAGGTGATGCTATGGTTTAAATGTGAAATGTAATGAACACTTGATCCCCAAAGAGTGCTTTGGGGGGATGCTATGTACCCTTGGAGAGGTGGAGTCAGTTTAGTGGGCAGAAGCAGGTCACTGGAGGGCAAGCCTTGAGTTATAGAGCCTAGGTCTGTTCACTTCCTGTCCTGTCTCTGCTTCCTGACTGCCAAGGAGATGTAACCAGCCACCACATACCCCTCCACTGCCGTGCCTTTCCTGCTAATGGATTGTATCCCCTGAACTGTAAGCCCCAAGAAACAATACTCCTTTAAGTTGATTCTATTAGGTATTCTGTCACAGCAACAAAAAAGTAACCAATATAGAACATTGGTATCAGGAATGGGGCTGTTTCTGTGATAAACCTGATCATGTACTGCACAGGCCTTTGGGACTGGTGTTTGGAGGAATGGGAATGAGTTTGGAGTTGTGAGCTAACAAAGCCCTAGAATGCTGTAAGAAGAATTTACTGGGCCACTCTAGTGGGAGCCCTGAAGACCTGAACGTTCACAGTAATCTTGACATTGAAGGCTGTGTGCATGTGGTTTCAGAGAACAAGGACTTAGTCAGGAATTGAGCTAATGACCATCCGTGTTAAATTTTAACAAAGGTGGATTCTGTCTGTGTCCTGAATACTTGAGTGTGGCTGAATTAAAAAAGAATAGACTAAGTTGTCTGGCAGTGAAAATTTTAAGATAGCAATTGCTTGCTACATTGACTAAGATTTACCGTGAGAGAAAGTATAAAACGGGGCAGAAAGATATGAAAATGTGTAGCTTCCAAGGAAAGGAGCATGGATGAGTTTAAGGCTGCAGACGAGGCAGCTATAGACAAAGTAGCACAGATTACTAAAGAAAGAGAAGCCAGCACTCTGCACTTGGACAATGGGAAAGGTATATTGGAGACCAGACCACGCCCATCAATAGCTGCAACTTATAAAATGTAAATTCATTAGAAAGGGAATGCTTGGATAGAAAAGTGGCCATAAGTATTCCCTGTTTGTATTAACTACCTAGGAAGTGTTTCCCCAGGATCATACTGCACTGAGATCATGCTAACACACAGAGGTCACAGCAGATGTGGCCCAAAGAATATCAAGCTACATGCAGAAGTAGGCAGTTGTGATCTCATAGTGCTGATTTTGTGGACCTACAAAATGGAAATATTATGGGGTCATAGAGGTTTGCCCCAAGGTTCAAGGAAGCCTCCAAGTATGTGTGGCAGGGTTGGATTCTCTGCAAGGAGGACCTTAGAGGCCATTATATGGAGCTGTAAAGATAAAGCCTGGATTGCATTAGAGACTTCTAGTTAAGAGATAACAGAACCCTGGGGCATTTACTAAGGAAAGCTGCAGGTACCAAATGGAGTCAGGCAAAGTGGGAGGAGCTGGAAAAGCAGGGCCATCTGAGGCTTTTGGACCCCAGATGGCCCCATCCTTAATCCTAGACATGAGGCATGGAACTGCATGGGTCGGTGTTTTTCACTCTGGGCTTCTGTCTTGCTTTGCTTCAGCCTTTCCTTGTTGTATCCCTATCCATCCCCTTGGAATCCAAATGTTTACTCTGTGCCATTGCACACTGGAATTATGTGTCAGAAACAGTGGTCCTTACTTTATAATAAGAGCACTCTCGTTTTAGAAGAAGAACACTGGACACAGAGTAGTAAAGTCAAGGCAGTTTGTTTTGCAACATTACGAAGTTGGGGGTCAGCCTGGAATGCCAAGCATGCTGACTGGGGCAGAGAA